GTTTGCGGTTTTTTTTTCATTTCCTAAGGTGTTTCGGCTAATTAGGAACGGGTCTACATCGAGCATACCGCCACTCATCATCACCACGAGTTCATCATCGACTTTGACCACTTCACTATCATCCGTCCTTGGCTTACAAACGACGAAAAATTGACGGTAACCTCGACGACACCATTGTATATTACCCTTGCAATTGCATTGATAACCCCTTAGCCCATTTTGCGTTACTTGCCTATCGAGACTAGCCATTTGAGTATTGCCGGCAACATTAATTGTGCACATTAGTGATCCATATCGTCCATTGCATATATAGCATATCATTTGGTATCATCATATCATATCTTGTGTCACAAGATTGTTCCCGCATATACACAATTTCTATCTTGGTTTGTGCATTGTGCAAAAGTGGCCATATCAAAAAAAGAAGAAGAAGAGAGAATAAGCTTTTAAGCAAAAGAGAGCAAAGAACTTGTAAGCAATAGCCATAGCATCAAAATATATCATATGGTATCATACTTGATCATCTTGGATCATTGTGTGAGAAACACCGGGAACCATACATACGTAGCATACTTGGGATATAAAGTTTGTCCATTTTGCATCTTATAGGTTGTGCACAAGTGTCGTATCCTCCTATTGAGCAATCGTGCTAGCGTCTCTCTTGAGTTGTGCAACACGAGCGTTTTCTGTGGATTCCACATTTTGTGCTCATTCCTTGGTTGCACGACCCCATTTATCTATCCGTGTGTGTGTTTCCGTGTGCTACATATTGCTATTGGTCTACTTGTTTCGCTTGTAAATTTGTGAATCTCTTTCAACATTATTGACTCTTGCTAACATTTTGCATCAAAAATTTTGTGCCACTATCCTCACCGATCTCTACCATAAGCTTTACTTGATAGGTGTGAGTGAACAAGTCCGGTACCAATTCCACTATTCTTTCATTTCACATTGAGTGAAACGGGATACATCCTCAACTTTGGGAAAAGGTAACTTGGTATTGTTTATATCATTTCCTACTCACCTCTACTCGAGTCTTGTGATGGATAGGCAAGGCATTTCACCTTCGGTCTACAACAACAACGACGAGTTCGATGCCACGAACAAGAACTCCGACGCCAAGATGCAAGCTAAAATGGAGGAGATCAAAGACCTCATCAAGGTCTACAAGCGATCTTCCTCATCTTCGAGAAGACGCTCAAGAGCACATGCTTCCGAGCTACCATCTCCGGCAAGATCACATCGGCATCGACACCATCACCAACAAGAACGTGAAGGTCAAGAACTCAACACCAACAACCGCTCAACGACTTCACCATCTCCCTTGGCATCTTTGCCAAGCGACTTCAAGGCATCCTCACCTATAGACATACGACATTTTTGCCAACAAGAACCTCAAGGCTACGCTCAAGAGAAGCTCCCCAAGCTCAAGTCCGCGACTTCCACGAGCTACTACGACCTCGACACCGACCACAAGATTCCTTTCTATGGGACTCATGAACCCGAGGAGTACCTCGAGTGGGAGCGTTTGATGGACGACTACCTCAAGCTACATCAAGTTCGTCCCGACGATCAAGTGAAGTGTGCCACAAGAAACTTCCACGACTACGCATCGGCATGGTGGCTTCACACACCTTCGGAGTACTACGCCATGAGTTGGCCCAAGACGAAAAGAGCGTTGCGGCGAGAGTTTGTGCCTCCAACCTACACGGAACAACTTCGACGCCAATTGGAGAACACCATCCAAGGATCCAAGTCCATCGACAAGTACTTCAAGGAGATGAAGATTGCCTTGCGACGAGCCGGCGTGGACGACCCCATTTCGATGAAGTTCCACTTCATGATGGGATTGAACAACGACATCTCCAAGACTATCTTCCTCGAGAACTACAAGTCCATCGACGACTACTACATTGGTGCTCTCAAGGCGGAACAAGAACTCATGAAGGCCAAGGCTTTTCTCCACCCCAAGCACACTTCGCGGTGACCAAGCTCTACGACAAGCATGAGGCTAGTACCACCACGATGTCCAAGCCCGACGAGCTCCAAGATGATGCACCCAAGCTCGACTTCACCGCCACCCCTCTTTGTGGCATTGATGGTGCCGAGTCTACCTTGACTCTTTTTCAAGACGATGCGGCGACAAGTATGACTACGGAGACCTTCAAGGACCAAGCTTTGAAGGCGAGCGACAAGGTGGCGAGCAAGGATGATGCTTCCATCTTTGAAGGCGAGAGTGATGATGTGCCATCTTCGGCCTTCATCCACTGCGACGATGACGAGATGATCGAGCATGGGATTTTCCCTTCGGTCATGGAGGAGAGTGATGATGTGCCATCTTCGGCCTTCATCCACGGCGACGACGACGAGATGGTTGAGCATGGGATTGTCCCTTCGACCACGGCAACGTATGATGACTTGAGTGACTTGTGCCACCATATTGAGAGTGAGAGTGACTTCACCACTAGCCCCATATATGATGTGTTGCCACAAATCCCATGTGAGGAGAGCCACAACCCCCACCACTTGAGTGAGATGAGTGACTCCACCATATGTGACTTTGAGTGCACCTACTTTGAGGGAGTGAGTGAACCACCACATAGAGAGAGTGAGATAGTTGATAGGTCTCGTGAGGCCATTTGCATTTCTAACAACTTGACCTCTACCTCTATTGTGTCTTCTCATTTGGTGCTAGGTCCCATTTATGATGACGTGCCGATCCTCGACGACTTCTTCCTCCCTTTGGACAAGACAATGGCCATGGTGGAATATGATGCATCCCCCACATGGTTCCATCAAGATGATGATATTGACACAGATGGTTTATTCCTACAGGAGATCAGCTCGCAGATGGTTTTACAAAACCTCTTACCGAAAGAAGGTTGAATGATTTCAAGTACAATCTTAACCTTGGCAAAGCTTCTTGAGGTTTAGATTGAGGGGGAGTGTTGGAATATACGTGTAGGGATAGAAGTCTTTGTTTAAATTCTGTCTCTAGTTCTATCCTTTCTTCTGTTCCCGATCTTCTTGTAACGACCTATCTGGTCGATCTCCTGATCGTTCCATCGATCCCCCCTTATAACTTGTATGCCAAGGCTTTGTCTAAATATATACATGCAGCCCGAGACAAAAGGTTCTACGCTTCCCAAATATTTTTACAGCCTCATCTCGTCCCGGTGCTGGCCGGCAGCTCGTCAACATCGACGAGCGGCTCGACGAGTTCGTGCTCGAGTGGGTCGTCCACGCCATCTACGGGGACAAGCTGCCCGAGCGCGCCGCGTTCCACAGGCTGGTCAGGCAAGGAGTGCAACTGTCGTCGCTGTTTGACCTCCGCGATCTCTTCCCTTCGTCGCGGCTGGTGCGGCTTCTGCTGCGGAGAGGCCGCGCGTTACCGGCAGGAGATGTCCCGCCTCATGGAGACCATCCTCAGGACTCACGAGGAGAGGAGGCCGGCCAGAGCTGCCGACGGAGACGACGAGCGTGACATGGTGGACGTGTTGCTGAGGATCCAGAAGGAAGCCGACATGCCAATTTCCATAACCCACGGCGTCATAAGGGAAGTGCTCAAGGTAAGATCATCAATGATCTCTCTCGCTCTCTGCAACTCCACCGTTTCAAACTGGTAAAGACTATCACAAGAACTCCAGCGTTTCGAACCTAGTGTGGTGTTGAGAACTTGAGATTTACTCTGTTTCCAAAAGAACTTGATACTGTATTTACTACCACAAGAACTTACTTGAAGTCCAACTGCTTCAATCCTCCTTACTCGAGCAGAAAAATGAAAACTAAGGCTCGTACTCTCGGAACAGCCTTCCCCTCGCTTTATAAATAAAGCAACATGCATCCGAAAAAGTACACAGCTGAACGGTACAAGATGATGAGGTAGCCCTCTTACAAAGTCAATCCTGAGATAACTGGCAGACACAAAACGCATGCGACAATGCTATCAGCAAAGAGCACCGAGAGGACTAAACACACCCCACGCTACGACATGGCTCATACTCTGACCCGATCAATGTTTTCTTTCGGAGCTGCCTGATAGATGTTAGTATATTGTGGGTACTTTTGATCCTATTCCTATCACCATATATGAAGGAAAATAGAAAAATAGCTGGGTAGCTGATTATGGGTTAAAGAGAAAACATAGCTGAACATAAACTGAAAAACATGCTGCTATTTATATGTATGCATTTATCATTTTTATAGGATGTATTCGGTGCGGGGCTCGACACCACAATGATTACCCTGCGATGGGCGATGGCTGAATTAATGGTGAACCCAAGGATGATGCAGAAGGCACAATCAGAGATACGCCACATTCTTGCAGGAGAGGCCAGAGTACATGAGGCTGCCCTAAATGACCTACACTACCTCAAAGCAGTTATCAAGGAGACCTTGCGGCTGCACCCTCCCGGACCGCTCGTACCCAGAATGTGTTTGCAAGATTGCAAGATCCAGGGACACGTCGTGCCACAAGGCGCAATTGTGTTCACCAACGTATGGGCAATATCTAGGGACCCGAAGTACTGGTATGAGCCGGAGAAATTCATGCCGGAGAGGTTTGAGGCTGATGGTGTTGCGGACTTTAGAGGCACGAACTTCGAGTTCACTCCTTTTGGGGTCGGTCGGAGGAGCTGCCCAGGGATAGGATTCGCAAATGCAAATATTGAGATTGCTCTGGCTAGTCTTCTTTACCATCATGACTGGGAGCTGCCCGCCGGAGTTAACCCGGAGGAAGTAGACATGACAGAGGTGTTTGGAGCCACAGTTACCAAGAAGGCTGACCTGTATCTGCATCCCGTTCCCGGTTTCCCCCTCTTTTAGAAGAACAACCGCAGCTGGAACCTGGAACACCCAATGCTCTCAAAGCATAGCCAGCCGAATAAATGTGTGCAGTGTTGCATGTGAAGCAGTTATGCTATGTGTACGACAAAGCTTTTATGTAACAGTGATATGTGTTGCGTACTACCAAATACGAAAGATCAGTGTGTTGCCCGTGACACTGTTAATGCTTTCACATTACTATTCATCAACAAGTGCTTATATCATTGTTGGTGAGACCTGCCATATACAGGTTAAACTAGCTATGCCCGTGTGGCGGCACGCCGCACCCCATCGACACGTCATGTGTATATACTTCGTGCCTTCAGATGTGCTGATCCTTTTTGTTGTTTGATTATCTATTTCGCGCCTTCAGGTGTCAAGTCTTTTATAACGTGTGTCGTTGAGTCTTAGAACAGAATACGTGGCAGTCGCATGACTATGGATAGTGTTTGTTGACTGCCATTCTGGAAATGTGGAGTCATGTTTTTCTCATTGAAAATATGGATGGGCTACATGGCAGGTCTATGCCAATGATGGACGACAATGAAGATGAAGGTTGGCTAATTTTATGGAAGAGTGGAATAGTAACCCATAAGACATTTGGCTAATTTGATGGAAGAGTGGAATAGTAATCCATAAGGCCGGTCATAGTGGGGAGTAACTTAGACTAGTGTCATATGCATGACACTAGTCTAAGTTACTACCTTCATAATGCAAAGTAACATGATAGTAGTGTCATAGATGGCTTTGTTAAACAAAACTCCTGTCACGTTACACATCCAGGAACTTGGCGTACAAGTCTAGGTAGTTAGGGAGATCTCTTTTATTTGTTATGTCATTTATCTTTGTATCTCTCTATCCCTTATCTCCATGTATCTCTCCTGGTGGTTGTACCTGCCAATTGTGTATGCCTCTGCGAGAGCTGGCCTCGCCCCCAATCAATATATAATCGCGGGCTGTCATGTATGACAGTTGAGACGCTTCTACGAATCCTAATATGGTATACAGAGCCTTCCTCTTCCACCTCATCTAGCCATCATCTTCAACCTTCGCCCATCTCCCATCGCCATGTCTTCCTCCAACCAAATCATCTCCTCTGGCCTAAACAATACGATCTCAGAACCTCTTACTCGCACAAACTATGTTTTGTGGCGAGCCCAAGCCCGATCCCAGATCATAGGAGCAGGTCTCTTCAGATACCTCGATCAAGCAATCCCAGAACCACCAGCCACCATTACCTCCAAAAACGCAGAATGAAAAGATCAAACCACACCAAACCCAGCCTACTCCGCCTGGTTGATTCAAGATCAACAGCTTGTGGCATATCTGCTCCGCAACCTCTCCAAAGAAGTCCTAGTACAGGTCGCTTCCCTAGAAAAATCCCATGTCATCTGGTCTTCTCTCGCAAACATGTTTGCGGCTCAATCCAGATCACGTGCCAACAATTGCCGTGCTGCTCTTTCCAACGCCCAAAAGGATTCCCAATCTGCCGCGGCCTATTTTGGTCAGATGCGCGCGCTTGCAGATGAACTTGCCATGGCTGGAAAGCCACTTCTCGAGGTGGAGCTGATCTCCTTTCTCATCTCTTGTCTAGATATGGACTATCAACCTCTTATCTCTGCATTAGACGTCCGCACTGAGCCTCTCTCCGTCGATGATCTGTTTGGCATGGTGTCCAACTTTGATCAAAGGGTGGAGATGTTTCACGGCTCTGGATCGGGTGCTTTCAAAACATCCGCCAACGCCGCCTCTCGAGGACGCGGTGGCTTCTCCAAAGGCAACCGCGGCGGCGGGGGCTTCTCCAAGGGCGGCAACAACAACGGCCACAGCGGCGGCGGTGGCTATGGTAGCTACCGCGGCGGCGGCGACGGCGGCTACAACAACAATCACAGCAACGGTGGCGGGGGCCACCATGGCGGTGGTGGCTCAAACTACAACAACTACGGCGGCGGAGGGGGCTACTACAACAACAACGGCCCTCCGCGCCCCTTCTACAACAACAATCAAGGGCGCCGTTTTGCTGGGTATGAAGAGTACGAAAATAAATGTCAGATCTGTAAAAAAACTAACCATATTGCAAAAGAATGCAAATGGCGCTATGCAGAGGACAACTCTCAGAAGAAGCGTGTTGCCGCTACGGCAGACATCTCCTATGGTAGTGCCGACACCAACTGGTATGTTGATTCGGGCTCCAACGAGCACATCATCTTAGATCTCGAGAAGCTGACCATGCATGAGAGATACCACGGCAAAGATCAGATCAACACGGCAGGAAACGCTCCAGGTATGATGATAAGTCATGTTGGTCAGTCTACTGTTAAAACCCCGCATTGTGATATCCAGCTTAAAGATGTTTTACATGTTCCCGCTGCATCAAAAAATCTCCTTTTCGTTCATCGCATCACTCTTGATAATGGTGTTTTCATAGAATTTCACTCATTCTTCTTTTTGATCAAGGATCAGGTCATGAGGAGGGTCCTCTATCGCGGTAGATGTGTGCAAGGTCTCTATCCGTTGATTCCCAAGTTTTGCAAGTTCAATAAACAAGTTCATGGAGCCTTCAAGGTCTCTTCAGAACGATGGCACAATCGTTTAGGCCACCCATCTTTCTCTATTGTTTATCAAATTCTTAGTAAACATAAGCTCCCATTTGTCGGTGAGCATGATCGTGAAACTATTTGTGATGCTTGTCAGAAAGCAAAAAGTCATCAATTACCTTACTCTATTTCCACTAGTGTGTCAACAAAACCCTTGCAACTTATTTTTTTCCGATGTGTGGGGTCCTGCCCCCTCTTCCGTTGGTAGACACACATATTACGTAAGCTTCATTGATGACTACAGTAAGTACACGTGGATTTACTTGCTTAAAAAACGTTCTGATGTCTTTCAAGTATTCCACAATTTTCAAGCACTAATTGAGAGAAAATTTGATAGCAAAATCATTGCCATGCAATCAGAGTGGGGTGGTGAATATGAGAAGTTAAATTCCTTTTTTCAACAAATAGGAATTTCTCATCACGTATCTTGTCCCCATGCTCATCAACAGAACGGCTCTGCTGAACGCAAGCACAGGCACATTGTTGACATAGGCTTCTCCCTTCTTGCCGCAGCATCTATGCCGTTGAAGTTTTGGGATGAAGCCTTCCTAACTGCGGTTCATCTTATAAACTTGCTACCTAGCCGTGTCATCAACAATGAGTCTCCAACCGAACGCCTCCTTCATGCCAAACCAGATTATGCCTCTCTCCGTGTGTTTGGGTGCGCCTGTTGGCCAAACCTACGTCCCTACAATAATCGCAAACTCAGCTTCCGGTCCAAACAGTGCGTCTTCCTTGGCTACAGTGCCCAGCACAAGGGGTCAAGTGTCTTGATGTTGCCACCGGCAGAATATATATCTCCCGTGATGTTGTGTTTGATGAAACAAGATTTCCCTTTGAAACCCTTCATCCCAATGCCGGTGCCCTCCTCAAACAAGAAATTCTCCTTCTTCCGACTACTCTTTCTGGTATTGATCATGGGGGTGACAACAATAGTACTGATCAACCTCTGACTACTCATCATTTTTTGCCTGAGTGTATTGCTGCAGATCCATCTTCAGAAGAAAATTCGGGCTCAAACAGTGCAAATAGCGGTGGAAACGGCCATGATTTCATGTGCGCCCCGGCTGGGAACAACGAAGCATGAGGCGGATCTGCTCCGGGATCCCCACTGCATGCAGCAGGTCGATCTGCACCGGGATCGCCAACTGCAGCACCTGGTTCCCCCTCGGTCTCCGCGCGTACCGACGTGGACAGCGGAACCGCAAGCGGCCGCATGCAGCCCACCAGCTGCAGACGCGACAACGCCCAACCGCGCCAACAGGAGGGCGGCGCGTGGCGGGATGGGACGCGCGGGCCGGTGCATGGGCCAGCACCAGATTCCTCTGGCCCCACATCTTCTGGTCCCGCCAGCTTGGACTGGTCGCCTGAGCCGCGGTCGCCCGAGCCGCTGTCGCCCGCTTCTGCGACAACGACAGGATCCCCTTCGGGATTGGGGTCACCAGCACCTGACGCTGACGCAGAGGAGACACCACCGCCTAGATCGTCTGCACCAATACATCCTGTGATCCCGCCTGTGGCGTCACGTACTAGACTACAAAGGGGAGTTACTACTCGCCTAAATTACAAAAATTTCTCTAAGTTTGGAATGTTGTGTACTACTGGTGAACCTAACACTTTGAAAGAAGCTCTTGATGATTCCAGGTGGAAAGCAGCTATGGATGATGAGTTCAGGGTACTAAAGAAGAACAAGACATGGCATCTTGTTCCCCCTCAGCAAGGCAGAAACTTGATCGATTGTAAATGGGTGTATAGAATCAAGAAGAAATCAGATGGTACCGTAGATCGGTACAAAGCAAGACTTGTAGCCAAGGGCTTCAAGCAAAGGTATGTCATAGACTATGAGGACACCTTTAGTCCAGTAGTTAAAGCTGCAACAATACGCTTGGTACTATCAATTGCTGTGTCCAGGGGATGGAGTCTCAGACAGCTAGATGTACAGAACGCGTTCCTTCATGGTGTTCTGAAAGAGGAAGTGTACATGAAACAACCTCCTGGGTTTGAAGACAGAAATGCACCTTTCCATGTATGCAAGCTTGACAAGGCCCTGTATGGATTAAAACAAGCACCTAGAGCGTGGTATTCACAGTTGAGTATGAAGCTTCAAGCACTTGGGTTTGTTCCATCAAAATCTGACACCTCTCTGTTTTATCTATAGCAAGTATCAAACTTTCATATTTGTTCTTATATACGTTGATGATATCATCGTCACTAGCTCCTCAAATGGGGCAGTGTCAGCCTTGCTCAAGGATCTAGGGTCTGAATTTGCTCTTAAGGATTTGGGAGACTTGAACTTCTTTTTAGGCATTGAGGTGAACAAAATAAACAACGGTATTCACTTGTCACAAGCAAAGTATGCAACCGAGTTATTGAGTAGAATTGGAATGAAAAACTGCAAGCCTT